CCACTCTTACACTCCAGTTATCTGAAATTGTTTTGACAAGATTAGACATATTAGTTATTTAGGATAAAATAGTAAAATGTTTTTTGTTGTTGTATTTACTTTTTTTTTTATTTGGAGATCTTTTCAGCATGAGCTCGTTTGTTTGTTGAAGTTGATTTTTTAAAATACGTGGCACATAGTTTTTTCTTCACTTCTTTGAGTTTCTGCACCCTTTTAATTCAGGGTAGGATTGACTTTGTTTTTTTAACAGTGTACATAGATTGTTTTGCTTTTATGAAAGAAAGAAAGAAACAAACAAACAAACAAATAGACATCTCTTAATATATTTTGAAAAATGCAAAATACCTATTTAAGATAGCTCTAATTATATTCTGACTAGTATAAATAACGTCAGATTTATCATTAAGTTGTACGGAGACTCCAGTCCAACATATCTTAAATGTATCTTTAGATATGAGATTCACTATATAAGATTCAATTAATGCAAATTGCAGACTTTCATGTTCTGTAAATTGTATTTAAAACAAAGCTGCTGCTGTTGATCATTGTTTTTATAAGCAGACCTCCCAAGGCCAATACTCTAGGGGAAACACTGGAAAGGTCTAAAAAAGTTTATTGAAGATGTGTTTGATAAAACAATTGACTGACTGTGAGTGACTCAGTCTGCAATGTTTGCCTCTACTAAAACACGTCATAAATTATGTACCTCTGTAACCATGTTAATATTTTTGTAGTACAAATACAGTACATGTTTTTCTTATGTTTTATCAAATTTTGAACATTTTTGTTTCGGGCAGGTAAGATTTTTCGTYACCTGCCCGACAGAGCGGGCGAATAAATCTTGTCGAACCCTGCAATCAAGGCTTTATATTTAAAAATATTAAGCATCACTGACCTGAGCGTCCTGCRTCTCTGCCAGCTGGTTCACTGCCTGATGGGCTGAAGAGACACACGCTGAACTGAGCCTGAGAAGAACTCTGGAGTAAGAGAGTTTGGCAGTACTCCATGATGTTGGCACACACCTAGGAGACAGAGGAAAGCCTAAGTCAGGTTGCTGACAAGGCAAAACTGACAGATTGTTGCAAACACGGTAAGACTTTATTATTCAGTGTTAGTTTAGCATTTGGAGAGTCTCGTTTTAGTGAGCGATCGTCCAACCTGCAAAATGGCCACCTCCATCTCCTCTCGTTGTTCAGCTGAGTCTCCAGGTGAAGAAATCTCTGCCTGCTTTAACAATCTCTCCCGCTCACTTCCTGCCAGGCGGCTCAGCAAGGACAGACACAAACGCTACAAAGGGATAGACTTGTTACCGGCTGCAGAGCTGACACTGAAAGACTGAGGCATTAGCAGAAATACAGACAAGGGTTGGGCATGGAGTCTCGATTGAAACCAGGACTAACGTTTTGATTCTCCCGGAATTGCTCGAATTTTTAAATTCTGATTCAAGTTTGAACAGAAGCAGTCGTCAAACACCAACAAAGAACAATCTGAAAATAGTGCAAACTTCAATAAAAGAACAAGATCATATTGTGCAAAGGAGGACTGCATGACCAGCATGATGAAACACTGCTCCGGGTTTATGAGGTAACAGTCTTTGACGCGTTGCGTGAGCCTTCACTCATGGGTAAATAAAACAATGAAATAAGTCCAACACAAAGAGGCAGCTGACAAGATATACTACATCTTAGAACAGAAACATCAGCTCAGTAACATGTTTAAGTACCTAAAGCATCACTCTTAGTAAAATTTGTGAAAAGTACAAAGTTCATAGAATTAAAATTCTTGGAAAAGTTAAAACTATTTCATCCAGAATAAACTCCAGATAAAATCCAAGTAAATTTTTTTGACCCTTCCTAAAAAGAACTGGGATCCGTAATTGAAATGAACAACCTGAATCAATCAAATTTAAAYGATGCCCAACTCTAATGCAGACACAAAATCAAATGGAATAAGCTTAAAGAATTAAAGGTTTGTTATTTTACCTGGAATCTATTAATGTGACCCTGGTACTCCATAAGGGCAGCACTGTTGATTTCTCCACCCATCTCAAGAACACCTAGTTGAACATAAACACATTTCACTGAGTCACAGATTATGAGAATAAAAGATTTGAACAGATAAACTAATCAAGAATTAGGACCTGGTAGAGCAGTTTTACTGATGATGCCAGTAAGCAAAGAGAGTTCCTGCAAAGCTCCTATACTGAGCTCCTGACAGCGCAGCCGGGACTGGATGGTGTCTGCGTGGACTATAAGCCACTGGAGAACCTACACACACATATGAACCAGACAGGAATTAATGGAGTCTATACCGAYAAAACAAACACTTTCTTATTTCTAACTCAAAACTTCAGCTAAACATTTTTTGTATAATCCCAAAACAATAAAAGAGGGTGACATTTGTTTACCTGGGCTGCCCCCTGCTGGTGATTTATGGATGTGGACGTCAGTATCACCTGAAGAAGCCTCAAAGCTGGTAGAAGGATCTGCCTGTACCGGTCCATAGGAGTCGGGATGAAGCCAGAAGGGTCCCTCATCACCCTGAATCCACAAGGAAACAAAAAAATATGTATAAATATTAAAACTGCATATTTAAAGACATCTGAAAATACCACCTTTAAAATCAGGGTTCCTACAGCTTAAAGCAAGTTAAATTTAAGTCTTTTTAATGCCAAGTGAAATCAAATTTAAGACCAATTTCACAATAAACACAAATGAGAAAAGAATTAAAACTGTGGCAGAAACTCATGAATCAAAATATTTTTGGTTGAATTATTCAAATATTGCTAATAGAC